AGAAAACAGCAGGCCTCGTATTTTTCTTGTTGTTTGGTGGTAGTGGTGTCAGAGGATTTTTGAGACAAGGTCTCATTCTAGCCTAAGCTGGTTTTCAATTTACTACACTGCCCTAGCTGGCCTCAACTTTATGGCAGTCCTTTGGTTTCTTCCTCCCAAGTGCTAGGCTTAGAAGCATGAGCGACAGTGCTCAACTAAAACCTTGTATTCTTGGCTGATAAAAGAAGACAGAGAAAGCATGGGAGATACATAGTGGGTATCTATCACAACACCTACCTAGCTATGCTATTCCCTCCAGAATCCCAAATACAACCAACCAGCAACCACACCCCTACGCCCCAGGTATCCTAGACAGGGCTTCTAGTATGGTGAGGAAGTACCCAGACCAAAGCAACATAGAGAAGGAAGGGTGAAAGCAGTTAGGACAGGAACTCAAGCAGCACAGAAACCTGGAAGCAGGAGGTCACAGAGGAGTGCTGCTTACTCGCTTGCTCTTCGTGGTTTATTCAGCCTGCTCTCATATAGCACCCAGGACTACCAACTCAGGGATGGCACCACCCAAAATGGGCTGAGCCCTCCCACACCACTAAGAAAATGTCCTATAGGTCTGCCTTATGGATCTTATGGAAGCATTTTCTCAATGGAGGTCCCTCCTCTCAGATGACTCTATCGTGTATCAAGCTGACATAAAGCTAGCCAACACAAAAGGAAAAAAAGAAAAGGGATCTCTATAGTGTGAGACCAAAATGAGCCATTTCAGAAACAAGACCAAAATGCTTTCACCCAAAAACTAAGGCCTAAGATTTCTCCTTCTAGAAATAGGCCAATAGTTACTGAAACAAGTCAGTTCAGATTCCAGAAACCAGGAAGTGCAAAAGTACAGAGTCCCAAGGTAGTCATGAGGTAATGCCTGCTGGACTATGGAATGTCCTCTCCCTGGTTTCCAGGGTAACTGACCACAGAAATGCCCCCACCTGATGGCAGCCAATGAGAAATGGTGGCGGGCAAACACTCCCTTAAAGTAAGATTAAGCCATGATTTCTAGAAAGCCCCTAGAAGCGAGCCAATCAGAATTGTACCCATACTAGCACCCCTAAATGATGTAACCTTGTGATTTTTTTCCCTTTAAAAACTGAGCTTGCAGATAGGTGAGCACTTCCTCCAGCCTCCACTGCGTTGGATGTACTGGACGAAGTCCCTGCCTAGGCTTGTATTGCTTTTGGATATCCGGAATTAAACCTTGCTTTTGTATTCCGGCATGCTCGTCTTTGGTGGTCTCTCTGGGGGTCACGATCTGGGCACAACAACAGAAATAGAATAAACTAGGGAGGGGATGTGGCTGAGTGGCTGACTATTCGCCAAGCATCGGTAAGGGCCTGCCTTTGACTCCCAGCACAACAGAAATAAAGAAATCATCTTCTTTTTCAGGTTTGGGTTAATCTGTGTGAACGTGGACATGCACGTACACTGGAAGGGACATGCCAGTAACAGGGGAGGCCAGGGAAAATCTCTGGGTTCCTGGAGGTGGAATTACAGGCAGCTGGGAGCCACCTAATACTGATGCTGAGAAACCACACTTGGATCCTCTGTGAGAACAGAAAGTGCTCTGACCTACTGAGCCACTACTCCAGTCTAAGCACAGTCTTTAAAGATAAATGGCTAGAGCGAGGCTCTCACCCCAGAGAAAACTGTGCTCTGCACTTATAAACTTGGTTTACCAGCCTCCAAACGTTTCTTCATTGTACCTGGACTGAACATTTAGACTGTCATCATTCCCTCAACGACATCATACAACTCTTACACAGCATTTATATTGCATTAATGTTAAAAGAAATCAAGAGATGACTTAAGGTAGACAGGAAGATCATACAAGTTTTATACAAATACAACCCCATAAAATGCTGGGGATTCAGCATGCCAAAGGATTACTCAATTCCAAATCCTAGTATTGGAGGAGTACAACAGAAAACAGCGTTATGCAAGAAGTAAGTAAGAGCTATCAGTGCCAATGAGCTAGTCTCACTCACAAAACCAGAACCTTCTTCCCATTTCCGTATCTTAATCCTTTCCCTTAGTATTTAATTTTGAAACTTTCAGATATGCAGAAAAAGCAAAGAGTAGTAGCATAAACAACTTTATACTTATCATTCTGTACTCTACTAAAAAAACTGTTAACATTTTACCACGTAGGCTTTTTTAAATTCATTGTTTTATTTATTTATTTTTTTTTTTAAGACAGAGTCTCTGGCCTTGAAGTAACAAGTCTGTGGCCTCAACCTTCCAAGTGCTGGGATAACTGTTCCAAATACAGCTAGGCTTCTTTTTATTTTTGTATTTTTCCCTCTTTTTAAAGAAGCACTTAAAAATAACCTTCATGCATCATGACTCTCTCCCTAAATAGTTTATGTGTATCTCCTAAGAATAAGTACATTCGCCTACATTATCATAATTGTCTTTATCTCACTAAAGGAAATTAACAGTCTTCCCCAAATGCTCCTACAGAGTACCTGCTTTAAAACTTCATGGTATTAGTTTTTGAGACAAGAGCCTCCTGGCAATTGTAAGTATTCTTGTTTATATTCATATACTAGTGCTTCCTAACTGTTTTCTTAAGGAGATTGACAGCTAGAGCTCTACTTTAAAGTTGCATTTTTCACTCTTATAATCGCAGGAAATCTATAAAATGATGCTTTACTTACTACTATACACACTCGCTCTAAAGGGATTAACAATAATTGATGACCCTTATCTGAATCAATTATTTCGTTGAGACATATATATATTGCTGCTCTATTACTGGTTTACAAATTAAACAACACAATTTAGTATCTCAACATTTATAACAAACCCTGGGCATCTCTGTAATTGCAGGGCTGGGAAGGCAGAGCCAAGTGGAGCCCTGGAGATCACTGCCCTGCCATTCTAACTAAGTCAATCAGGTCCAAGTTCAAAGGAAGACTCTGTCTCAAAATTAAGTTGGGGGGCAATTGTGAACGACATCCATCGTTGACCTCTAGCCTCCACAAGCATGCTCACATGCGCCTACAAACACATGTACACATACACGCAAAAGTACATGTACACACACACGCAATTACAACGGAAGCCTTGGTGGGTTCTATTCGTTTCTCTACTACAGGTTTCAGAATCCAAGTGTCTATCAGCTGTACTCTTTTTTTTTTTGTTGTTTTTGTTTTTGTTTTTCGAGACAGGGTTTCTCTGTGTAGCTTTGCGCCTTTCCTGGAACTCACTTGGTAGTCCAGGCTGGCCTCGAACTCACAGAGATCCGCCTGCCTCTGCCTCCCGAGTGCTGGGATTAAAGGCGTGCGCCACCACCGCCCGGCTATCAGCTGTACTCTTAACTGGGGACTGTAGAAAACGTCTACTTCCAACAGACTGGTAAAACCCATGTACTGCAATGGTAAGAATGAGAAACAGTTCTTGCTTGCTATCTATTGGGGGACCACCCTTAGTTACTAAAGGCCTCTCTGGACCTTGCACAGAAGCCCCTGGAGCTCAGTTATTTTATAAGGAAAACACTATCAGTTTGCAGTATATAATTCAAGTGGAAAACAGGCAAGCACTTTAATGTGAGCAGAAATTATTCTGGTCTCTGAATACATTTAAATCACAACTATTAAACAAGAATATATGCAACAACAATTAAGAAAGAGAGACAATAAATTTGAAAAAGAGCAAGAGAAGATACATAAGAGGATTTGAATGGAAATAGGGAAATGATGCAATTATATTACCTCAAAAAAAAAAGTGGAAGTGACGAAGGTTTAACCCTGAAATTACATAGTCCCCAAAAACCACGTTAGCCTGCACAGTCTTCACGCTGCTGCCATAAGAACCAGACTACTGGGTCACAAAACAGGCGGCAGGAGCTTCAGATACTCATCCACTCCTCTTCCCTCTCAGATCCCTGAGATTCATGACGGACAGGCACAGGTGAACACTGAACACAGGGAAATGCTAAGGCAAGGCAAGCTTAGCCAATCTGGTCTCATGGAAGTCCACAAGTAAGCCCGCCACCTTGGCTACCACTGTAGAGACGGGGAGACTGTCTTTATTATCTTGAGTAGACACAAATCTGCTGAGTGTCTTGGAAGGGAACACAATCCTCTCCACCCTTAAAGCCTGCAAGAACATAATACAATGTCCCTGTAAAGAGACTGTAGAACAGAAAGTCAAAACTTCTGCTCAGACATGCAGAAATGCAAGAGACATAAGAAAAAATGTTTCACCGTATTTGATTTCTTCTTGCTACACAATGTCCTCCATGTTATTTTTTAACCAAAGAATATATTTTTTACTACTTTATTAAAAGGCCAATATAAATAAAAAAATTCCTGCTTTTCCTTAGGAAAAAAAGTAGTTGTCTAGTAACATATTAAACAAATGTATCTAACTATGTTTTACTAAAAATATGTGATATTGAATAAGTAAAATATTCAGCTGATAAACATTCACCAAAATGACAAATGGCACTTTTCTTCTGGTGAGACCATGTAAGATGCCCAACTTTAGAAGGCCAACTATGCTATCAATCCAAAGGGAAAGAAGGGTGAGTTAATCTTGCCATCCTAATAGCGATCATAACACAAATAAAGACTTAAAAGTAAGCCTCATTTTCCTGGCACAGTAGAATATTCAACCTTTTAAAAATATTACCCAAAGAGGGTAAAATTTGGCGTGAATTTCTTTTTCCATGTAGATGACTTATTGGAAAATACCAAAGTCATATGAAGGACATTCAGTATAAGCAGAAGCTTTCAAATTAAGAATGTGCTTCTAGTGAATGACTGACATTACCAAATACAAAGAAGAAAAAGCATTTTAAAAGTCATTTTTTTTATAAAAAGAGCATGTGGACTGCTGAACCTTCCAAACCAATGCTCCAGGTAATTCAAATTGGAAAATGCACTAAAACAATATCTATGTCATACCTCAACCTTCAAATTGGAAAATGCAAAACAGCGATATCCTTGACCTACCTCACCCAGAGCTTCGTATCTTTTCTGGTTCCACCTGTGTAAGTCTTCTCGGTAGTTAAAAACAAATGGTTCCCCAGTTTTTATGTGTCTTAACTGCCCCTCTAAAAGACAACAAGCAATATTTCAATGATTTAGAATATATTTTAAATAATATGGAACTTAACAATAAATAATGTCTGATAAAAATAACTGTCTTAAGCCGGGCAGTGGTGGC